ATGAATTCACTCTAACTCTCTATTCTCCATCTCTAGTCGGCTATACACTCAAGAATAATGGCTGAGCAAATGTTTGTAATGCAAGACTAAGTCTTAGACAAGGTTTGGTGTAGTGGCCCACTCAAATGGCAAGGTTGTAGTTAAGTCAAACTATGTAATTTCTCAATAATTAACCTAATTTAATCATGTCAAATCAGTTTTCAGATAAATATACCATAAAATCACATTAATTCTAAGGATCACAAATCATCAATCAATTTCGGATTTGGCCGCCGATAAGGCCTTCAATTCGTAATTTTTAAACATAAAAACACGAACAGATAATCAAATAACCAAACAGATAGAATTACAATTAAACAGGTATACTCAGTCAATTCAGTTTCAATTTTAGTCAGTCAGTTCAGTAGTTTATTCAGTTCACTTATCAGTCATAATTAGTTTCAGTTTAACGGTAATCAGTGGTTATTCGGTAAACAGTGACGAGGGTTGTTACAATGACACAAAAGGCATATATTTTAAAGATTATAAATATAATTTATCCTTAACAACAAGATAAATTTGGCCAAAAACTCCTATGCCTATCATATTTTCCTAGTAACAAAAGGAGGCAGCTGTTTTTAATGTATAAAATTCTTAAAAATAGATTTGTTATATAGCAAGAACACAAAACCACAATTACCACCACCGTGGCATGGTTGTTGATTTAATCTTGGACTCCGTTTGATTCAGTTTTTAAAATGAATTTCGAGTTTTGTGTTATATTTTTAAAGATAAATTTTTGGAATGAGTTTTGAAAATAATTTTTATTTTATTTTATTTTATAAGTTTTGAAACTAATTTTTAAATTGTATATTTTGAAAACTTGTTTACTTTTGAGTTTTGAAACTAATTTTTTAATTTAATTTATTTTTTTTGTAAAAAATATTTATTTATTTTTTTAATTTTTGAACAAAATAATTATTTTATTTTTAAAAAATTATTTCATTTTTTTAATATTTCCAATATTTATTTTTTTGATATTTAATTTTGTTTATTTTAAAAAAATTTGGAATCATCCATATATATCTAAATCATAAAAAATTATTCGACAAATACTTAAAAAAAATAAAATATTTTTTCAAAAAAATAAAAAAATAAAAAAGAATTTTTTCAAAAATAAAAATAAAAATATTTTTTGAAAAAATATAATTTTTCAAAAAAATAATTTTAAACAACAAAATAAAAAATATATATTTTTTAAAAAATTTTTTATCAAAAAATAGAATTTTGAAAAGTTATTTGATTATGAATTTTTTGAAATAAATTTTTAAAACTTTATTTAGTTATAAATTTTAAAAAGAGTTTTAGCTTTGAAATTGTGATTTAAAAATTAACCAAACGTTACCTTGATTTCTTGCCATTGTTGTCATCAATTTCTTTGTTTGTCATCATCATCATGTGCAAGAGTCTCCACTGGAATCTTCTTGCACCGCCGGCAAGTTTGAAATTGTGATTTTTTGAAATTGTGCAAGAGTCTCCACTGGAATCATCATCATCATCATCATCAATTTCTTGCCATTTTTTGAAATTGTGATTTAAAATCCCAGAGTTTGGCATTTGGTTTGCAAGTTCTAACATTCGCTTGATCATCCAAAGTCCACATAAACACAACCTAAGAGTTTTTAGTTTAAGATCCTTTGGAATGATTTAAATAAACAAATTTTTAATTTTTTATAAAAGAAAAATACGCAGAAAAATATAAAAATGATGTGATTTAAATAACTACACTTATTTAATTCATGTCAAATGGTGTCTTAGTAATTTATAAGATAAAAAATATGTAACATTTTTATTTCCAGCATTTCACAGTGATTTTTCTTTTTTCATAAATAAATTTCAAGTCTTTAAAGTGAAATTTCATAAAAAAATCTCCATAATGAGTTAAAATTTCTCTAACAATATTTTTTGGGGGTTTTTTTTTTAAGGTCCCAATATATATTAGACCTTTCCACTATCCAAAGTTGAAAAGGGATATTTCATTAATCTTAAGAAAATTGGGTTATATCATATACGTCAATTATGATATTTATGGTTTGACTATGATTCATTGAGATGTTACTTATGATTTTCTTTTTTCATAAATAAATTCCAAGTCTTTAAAGTGAAATTTCATAAAAAAATCTCCATAATGAGTTAAAATTTCTCTAACAATATTTTTTGAGAGACCTTAAATAACAAGAAAAATATATATTAGACCTTTCCACTATCCAAAGTTGAAAAGGGATATTTCATTAATCTTAAGAAAATTGGGTTATATCATATACGTCAATTATGATATTTATGGTTTGACTATGATTCATTGAGATGTTACTTATGATATATTATGATTATTATTTTAGTTGTGATCGAAAATATCTTTTGTTATACTTTATGTGATATTTGGTTATGGCTTATTATTATTATTATTATTATTTATGATTGAAAATATTTTAATTACTGTAAATGTCATAACTTACATATGGTACATATTTAAAGGAATATGTATAGTACCATGACCTTATTATTGCGTTATATATGTTAGGAGGGGATAAACTCCCCTCCATACCTCATCTCGTCATACCTCTTTATATTTTTTTTGTTGGTTTTTTGATCCAAATCCTATTTGAACCATCTATCTCGTAAGCTTCATAATAAAGGTCATTTGTAAAAAATTAATTTCATAAAAAAATTATAAATATAAAAATAAATAGCATTTTTATTTTATAAAATAAATGATAAATATAATTAGATTTAAATCATTTATTTTATAAAATAAAATATAATTTTTTATTATGTTTAGTTGTCTGATAAAATTAATTTTTTTACATTAATGACATTCATGGAGGGACTTACAAGATAGATAATTTAAATCTTTAGTACAAATTCAAAGTAAAATGTAATGAGTATAGAAAGGTATGAAAGAGAATTTATCCTATTAGAAGATAATTTATCTTCAATTAGATTAACAATTTAAATGGAAAGAGATTATTGGACCCAGTGAGCCTATTTTAATTAACCAATTCGATCCGGTTGAATCCATTTGGAGGGTTCGTAAAACACACGCACGGAAAGAGAAAATGGGCCTCCCCTAAATCACGAGCATTAGCTGCACATGTAGAAGTGTTGGAAGGTGAGGAGGACTCAGAGTCGGGTTGTTGGGGTGGTGGTGGATCAGATGATGAAGATAGTATAAATGACTGAAATTTCTCTGATACATGTTTAGGGACCTTAGACATCAAAAAATAATTTTGTGGATCTCTTCCATTACGAAAAGTGGAGGAAGGACCCTAGACCAATTTCCCCAATAGGGGTTTTTTTTTTAGGGTCCCTGGTATTAAAATTTTATAACATAAAGGACATTCAATATTTTCATAATGTCTAAGGTCCCTTAAATATTGATCCAGAGAAATTTCAATCCAGAGAAATTCTGTCCAGAGAAATTTGTTCCAGAGAAATTCTGGACTTCCCAGAGAATTTCTCTGGGTTCAACCCAGAGAAAATTCAAATTTCAATGGGTTCATTTTGACCAATTTTCTCTGTTTTCAAATTTCTCTGGGTTCATTTATAAATCAGAGAAAATTCAAATTTCTCTGGATTCATTTTAACCAATTTTCTCTGGATCACAATATCATTTTATGAAATCATTTTGACAGACCTTAGACCAATTTCTCTGAGTTCAAATTCAAATTCTTCCTCCAGAGAAATTCTTTGATAGCCTTCATCATCATCATCATCATCATCATCATCATCATCATCTTCTTTCTACATCAAATAAGTAGTTGTAGTAGCACCATGAAAGCCATATAAGCAAGAGCACTTTGATAGTATCAACACAAATACACAACATGACAAATGATTAACTGGAGGTAGCATGAGGCAATAAAAAAGCTTCCAGAGAAATTTGAACAACCCAAAGATCTACCAGAGAAATTTAAACAAACCAAAGACCTACCAGAGTAATTTGAACAACCAGATAATTTTGAACAATCCAGAAAAATTCTCTGGTCCAAACCATTGCAAGGTTTATGTTCTTAAATCTGTTGTTTAATTAATAGTTGGGGTTGATTTATTCAAATTGTTATTGTTGTTGAAGGCAGAGAAAATGATAAACAAATCAAAAAAAAATTTAAGTAAACCAGAGAGAATTTTTTTAGTTTGGAGAGAATTTCTCTGGTTTAGACCAGAGAAATTCAAAGCTAGATGGTTGTTGTTGTTGTTGAAGGCAGAGAAAATGATAAGGAATTTCTTTGGATATCTACAAAGTTGTGTCCTCATGGGAATTGAGGTCATGAGAGCATCCTTAGATAATCGGTTTATATTTACTTGGGCTTGCAATTTATACACTACTATCTTGAGCATCTGGTCCCCTACAATAGCTCTCGTGTGCCGGACAAATCCATCTTTGGATATTTCATTTTTCTGAAAATAGCAAAATATTTTACCCATTAGGATGAGATGTAATACAAAAGAAATCATCTCATGCAAGACATTCATAACAATTAACGAAAATGCATGTCATAGACCCACCTTTAATTTATAATAAAGAGTATGAAGTTGCATGGCTCTGTCTTTATCAAGTTAGGGTTGTAAGACCGAAAGCAGCATGGCAAATGGAACTTGTTTTCCACAGTTCATTGGGTTCATTTCCTGTTCTGTTGTCATTGCCTCTTGATTATTCATATTTTGTAACTTTGGGTTATGAGACTTACTCTCTGGATTGTGTGTTCTGTCTGGCTCTAGGATATGGACAAGATTCTTTTCAGAGCTCTGAACACCCAGTGTTTGAGAAAAATGGAAGGGATTCTGTTCCAATTGTCGTTGCTGACAGTCATCTTGTGGCTGTTTCAATTCCTGTGAGGTGTCAATTTGTTGCTGCTGACTCTTAGGACCTACACCATGTTGCTTTAGCTCCATTTTCAGATGATTGTGGATCTTGCTGCTGGGATCCATTCAGATCTTGATAATTTTGAAAATTGGCATTTTCATCTTGGTTGGAAGTTTGCCACTGTGGAAATAACTGACTGAAAGTGTGATTGCTTCGTTGAGATAAAGCTACTGTTAAAGTGTGATTGCTTCCTCCCAGGCATCCTCTTGCCGTCGTCGAATGAGGAATCATCCGCCATAGCAACAAGCTTGAATGTGTTTTGATTCATCGTCAAATCGATGTCAGCTAGGGTTGAATAGGAGTGCGAGGCATTTCTGAAATCAAATTTGGAATTGGCGGTGGTGGTTGAAGCGATGGCGTTGAGAGGGCGGTGAGTTTGGGGATCGAGGCCCCGAACGATGAGCTCTCGCTTGATGTGAGTGTTCCAGTAGTTCTTGATCTCGTTGTCGGTTCTACCTGGTAATCTTCCAGCTATCAATGACCATCTGAAAAAACAAATTCAACAAAATCAACAATTGTAGTTTCAAAATTTGGATTTCCTTTTTGGATTATGTTTGATTGTCGAGAAAACAAATTCACAGCTGCCAAGCAACCAATTCAAAAAGTTGTTATGATTTCTTTTTTGCAGATGCGAAACAAAAGCTGATGAAAAGTAATTAGAAATGAAATTGAAGGAGAGAAAGAAATAGTATACTTGTTTCTGAGCAAGCTGTGAAGTTTAATAATGAATTCGTCTTCTTGTTTAGTGAAATTCCCTCTCTTGAGGTCAGGACGGAGATAGTTAATCCATCGGAGTCTGTAACTCTTGCCACAGAGAAGCAAGCCTGAGTCAAATTTCTCTGATATATGTTTAGGGACCTTAGACATCAAAAAATAATATTGTGGATCTCTTCTATTACTAAAAGTGGGAGAGAGACCTTAGACTAATTTTCCCTATTTTTTGAGAGACCTTAAATAACAAGAAAAATATATATTAGACCTTTCCACTATCCAAAGTTGAAAAGGGATATTTCCTTAATCTTAAGAAAATTAGGTTATATCATATACGTCAATTATGATATTTACGGTTTGACTATGATTCATTGAGATGTTACTTATGATATATTATGCCTCCGTTTGGGAAGTGGGTTGGCTTTTTGGCTTTTTGACTTTTTTGGCTATTTTAACATGGGCTTAAAAGCTTAGTTTGGGAAGGGCTTTTTGGCTTTTTGACTTTTTGGCTTTTTTGAATTTTTTTGTGCGAGAAGAATGTAATGATTATGAGTTGGATGTGATGTTTTGTTTGTCATGGCTAAAATAGCCTATTTTATTTTTTGTGGCTAAAATAGTTAAAAAAGCCCAAACCATGGCTTCCCAAACGAAGCCTATGATTATTATTTTAGTTGTGATCGAAAAGATCTTTTGTTATACTTTATGTGATATTTGGTTATGACTTATTATTATTATTATTATTATTTATGATTGAAAATATTTTAATTACTACAAATGTCATAACTTACATATGGTACATATTTAAAAGAATATGTATAGTTCCATGACCTTACATAATATTGCGTTGTATATGTTAGGAGGGGATAAACTCCCATCCATACCTCATCTCTTCATACCTCTCTATATTTTTCTTGTAGGTTTTTTTATCCAAATCCTATTTGAACCATCTATCTCGTAAGCTTCATAATAAATGTTATTTGTAAAAAATTAATTTCATAAAAAAATTATAAATATAAAAATAAATCGCATTTTTATTTTATAAAAATGATAAATATAATTAGATTTAAATCATTTATTTTATAAAATAAAATATAATTTTTTATTATGTTTAGTTGTCTGATAAAATTAATTTTTTTACATTGATGACATTCATGGAGAGACTTACAAGATAGATAATTTAAATCATTAGTACAAATTCAAAGTAAAATGTAATGAGTATAGAAAGGTATGAAAGAGAATTTATCCTATTAGAAGATAATTTTTCTTCAATTAGAACAATTTAAAATGGAAAGAGATTATTGGACCCAGTGAGCCTATTTTAATTAACCAATTCGATCCGGTTGAATCCATTTGGAGGGTTCGTAAAACACACGCACGGAAAGAGAAAATGGGCCTCCCCTAAATCACGAGCATTAGCTGCACATGTCAAAACCTAAAAAGTAAGTTCCTAAACGAGGCCTAAGGGTTGGTTTGGAATCGGGATAATTTTTTGACTTTTTAATTTTTTTAGTTATTTTAGTCTGAAATTAAAAAGTCTTATTTGGGATGAATATTTTGATTTTTTTGACTTTTATGAGAGAAAAAATATAATGATTATGAGTTGGAGGTGATATTTTATCTTATTGAGCTAAAAAACCTATTTTTTGTAGCTAAAATAGCCAAAAAGCCCCGGACTTGAACTTTTTCTTTTCAAACGAGCTCAAAGTAAGTGTTTGCCATGTACTAAAAAAATATATTTTTTTATACATACACTTATTTGATTACATCAACATCTATTAACATTTTCTCTTTACTTTCGTATTCATTTTTTTTATTTTTTTACATATTTTTTTTTTTTGGAAAGCACCAATAAATCTCAAATTTGGAAATGTTAACCCATTTAGTCCCGAAGGTTTTTTGTTGGACTAATAGGTCCTATTTCCCAAAAAGCTTACTATGCCTCCGTTTGGGAAGTGGGTTGGCTTTTTGGCTTTTTGGCTTTTTTGGCTATTTTAGCCTGGGCTTAAAAGCTTGGTTTGGGAAGGGCTTTTTGGCTTTTTGGCTTTTTTGGCTATTTTAGCCTGGGCTTAAAAGCTTGGTTTGGGATTGGCTTTTTGGCTTTTTGGCTTTTTTGGCTATTTTAGCCTGGGCTTAAAAGCTTGGTTTGGGAATGGCTTTTTGACTTTTTGGCTTTTTGGCTTTTTTGAGTTTTTTTGTGAGAGAAGAATGTAATGATTATGGGTTGGATGTGATGTTTTGTTTGTTATGGCTAAAATAGCCTATTTTGTTTTTTGTGGCTAAAATAGCCAAAAAAGCCTCCAACCCACCTTCCCAAATATAATATTCGTTAGTTGGGAGATTAAGTTTATAAAACTCCATAAAAAATCTTGTTACATAAAATGTGATTTTATTTTTTTTGTAAAGTGAGAGATAAAATAATATTGTCATTTATAATCTTATGAGATTAGATTTCAATATTACCTCGCTATCAAATTACTAGTTCTCTCTTTGGATGAATTTCATAATTCTAATTAAAATCGATCAGTTTGGTACAATTAATCGATTTAAAACTTTTTTAATTTAAGACATTTTTTGAAGCTATACTATAGTCACTAATAACTTATATAAAAATATTGAATTAGTCATTTCTCAAATACTTCAAATATATCTAATTCATCCATTTTGTAAATACTGTCTAATTTGTAGATTAATAAAGATACAAACAGTAAATAAATACTATAATTTCAAAAATAATGGAATAGAGTTAAAATTATATATAGTAAATATTTACTAACTTTTTATATGGATGATAATATTAATTAATTGAGATTAATAATTTATTATATTTGTTAATATCATTATATTATTATATTATTATATATATTATAAATACAATATATATTAAAGCAATTAGTTTTAATTTAAGTTGGTATACAAAGTGTTTGTATCCGTATTGAATCAAAAATTAAAAAATCAAACAAATAAATTTTTATTAAAAAATAGACTAAAGTATGACCTCTTTAATTCAGTTTAATCGATTTGATCCAATTTTTTTTATTTTTGTTAGGGTACTCCTTGGTACAACACACGAACAAAAAGAGAAAGCGGGACTCCACCAAGTAACGAGCATTGGCTGTACAAGTTATAACCTTTCTCTTCCTTTTTAAATTGGGAAATGTTATGCAGTCTAAATAATTTATTAAATTTTTTATATAAGTGTGGGGTCTACACAAATTTATATATGTGTAGGTCCGTCACCTATATGAAAGATTTGATAAAAAATTTGATAAATTATTTAGGTTTCTTAGCATCACTTTGAATAATGCTACATGTACCAATTGGTACACTTTAGATGATGTAAGATAAGTTAAGAGATTTTTTATATTTATAATGTGATTAATGAGTGCAGTGGTGATACATGCACCAATTAGGACTATTTTGGAAAATGGGTTAAAAGTCACTTCCTAACTTTTAACCACATCGCTCTCTCATAAAAAAGTCAAAAAATAGTTTTTAACCATCTTCCCAAAACACCCCTTAGTATACACATTAGTGTACCAACACTATTGACCACTGTTGGCTTTTTGGCTTTTCGAAGGGTATTTTTGTAAATGTGAGCGTGCCAGCAAGGATCAATCAGTCCTTACAGAAATTGTGATTGCCAACCAATTACCAGACGATTGTGTTTTAGTTCTTTCAGCCTCAATGAAGAGGACTTTTACTGGTGGCTTGACTTAGGAGAAATTAAGAGAAATAACAATTAATATGAAGAGCAATGGAAGTATTTCATAAAAATGAAAAACTTACAATAGTCCAAACTCAGCCTCGAAGAGGTTTACAGCAACAGTCCACTTGAATCTACTTGAGACTACTCCTATGAATTGAAGTGCAGTGCAGATATGTAAAGTGCAAGTATTGAAAGTATAGGAATGTAAAACTGGAAAGTAAAATATGAAATAAAGACTGGTATGTATGATCTGAGTTCCGTCCTTTTTCCTGGGGGTCTCTCTACTATTTATACTTGTCAAAGATGACCTTCGAACTGTTCTTCGAACCGTCGAACTGCTCCTCCATGATCGCTGATCATGTTGCTTTAGAAGTAGCTCCATTATGCCACCATTTGCAGTTAGGCTTCCCTCCTGTATTTGAATTTGAATATGAGTAACCGTTGAAGCCACGTCACCTTGCGTTTCTTTACTAATCCAATGTTGCTTAGACCATGTAAGAACCAATTATCATCACCACGTGTACGATCAGGATTGGAAACTTAAATTATTTTCCAATAATACCCTTACTCTGCCACGTGTCGGATTGTAACTGACTTTTACAAAATATATAGCTAACAAAATTACATTAAAAAAAAAAGTAAAGGAAGGGAGGAAAAAAAAGAGAAAGTAAAGCAAAGCAAAAAAAGGAAGAGTACATAAGTTTAATGTCTTCATTCCGTCTAAATAATTACAATGACAGGGGGTCATTGTAATTTTTCAAACGTGGGGATGATATTGATTAAACCCAAATCTCAGTGGGTGTAAGTGTAATTTATCCTAAATATTTTAAGTAATTTTTTATTTTTTTAATTGTACATAACTTGGATGCATTTAAAAGTAAAATATTTATAAAAAAATTACAAAAATTCAATTAATACATAAGAACACGAAAATATATTAAATTTTTTATATTTTTTTGTATTTGATGAATTTTTTTAAAAATTGTTTCATAAATATTATCTTTTTAAAATATATATAGATTAGATTAGATATATTTAAAAGATATATATTTTTTAATATATTAAATTTTTTCGACAAAAAACAAATACACAAAAATAAAAAATTATTTTTAAGGTAAATACGATCCGAATCGTTGAAATTACGATTTGAATCCAGATTTTGACCACTTTTCCAATTGGCCTTGAATAAATAGAAAGTGTCAGCTATTTTTGCATAAGTTATATTAATATGATATATTTTTATTATTATGATTAGTAAAAAGTAATAAAATATGAATTATAATATTAAATATTTAAAAATATTAAAAATATATATATTTATGATTAATGGGAAGATTGTGAGCTATTTTGAAAAAATGATTATAATCAGTTTTTTTATAAAAAATTACTTATAAACAACTTATAAACAACTTTTTTGTGAGAAAGGAAGTGAGCTATAATCCGAATTTTTCCACCTTACCAACCTCCGTCACCCCTTTCTCTAGCCGAGCGAAAGCAAGCTCAACTTTTGCTCGCGGCTTTCTCCCACCTGCCCTTCAATGTTCTTGAGGATGACATTCCTCTTAAGAACTTTCGATGGGCTTGTGATGTCTTGACTAGGGGTTATGTCCTCAACCCTCTTGCCCAAGCAGAGCTTCATTTGTTTTTGGACCAACTTCCAGTGCTCCTTTATTGGCATCGGAATTCCATGGTCACTATGCAATCTTTAGACCAACTTTCGTCTCTGCGAATTCAGGCCCAGTATGAAGCAGAAAACTTCACCGAAGAATTCGACGACTTCAAGAATAAAGATTCTGCATATTGGGATGATTTGATCGTAGATGAATTGGAACAAAGATTGAGGGAGGAGGCTTTTGAAATAAAGGCTGAAGAGCTCTATTATGAAGTGAGAGTACATCAGCTCATGCAGCCAACTCTTGAAGAAATAGAAGATATAATAAAGAAAGAACAGAAATTCATTGACCATTGTTGGACTAAATTTCATGATCTTGTTATCTATTCTATTCCTTATTTTTATGAACTTGAGTTTGTACCCAAATGGGGTTATTCAATGTAATCTCTTTATCTTTAATACAAACAAAGTTCTTTTGCACTCGCCATTGCTCGACTCTGCTTCCTTTTATATTTTAAAACTAATTTAGAGCTTCGAATTGGACAACCTCATCCTTCGAATTATATAT